TGTTGATGCTGTGTGCTGGTCTTGTGTAGAGAAACAAGGCCACATGGTGATTTCTGTGTTAGTGAATCTGATGCTGTGACACTGCCTCCGCTGCACATCTGTCGCTCCCTCTCTGCCTGTTTACCGTAGTTCATCTCTATGGATTAGGATTAGGGCTTTGAATGTGTCTTTGCTTTGTCATCAATAGGACATCCAACATGTCCCCTGTATTACACTGCTGTGATTGTCTCCTAAACATGGCTCTTTCTTGTTTGCATGCTGGAGGAAGGAAAAGTGTTTCATGATGACTGATTATTCTCCAGAAGGGGACTGGAGAGTGAGGAACCAGTTGTTTGGCCGACTCCTTATATATCCTTGAGTTCTATTTTTAGTGAAGGGTGTTCTGTGTGGTAGTGTGGGAAAGCAAAGTCACTGCGTATTGTGCAGTAAAAGGTAATTCCAACAAAAATCTTGTCTTTTTTTTGATCATATGCAGTAATCTGACATTTACAAGACCACAGCTCGTGGGAATACAGTCAAATGAAATTCTTGAAAAACAGAATTACAGAGTTTCGGAGACAGTCCAAAACAAATTCAGCTTCTCTCTGATCCGCGGCTCCACATAGCTCACAACCACAGCTGTTGGGCTCAGCAATCTTATGTAATGTCATTAGAATGTATTTATTACAGCTCTATTGCACAGTTGAAACCCTTTTAAGCTGCAGTGAGTTGGGCATGGGACAGGGAGGACGTGCTGTAGAACTGCCCGGATGGCTTTGCCACCCTCCATCGCACTGTGTGATATTTGGTGTAACAGACAGTATCCAGTCACTGCAGATTGGAAACAAGAAAGTAACATTTTTCTTCAGTGTCATCTGTGATGTGTAGCAGGTCTAATAATATTAGCCGAATCTAGCTTATCAAATATCTGTATCAGTGGGGGTGTGGGTCAGTGAGTAATAAGACACTGTGGTACAGATATAGCAATTATATGATTTAAAAAGGAATTTTTGATTGAAATTTAATCTGTTTACAAAGCCGTGGCTAGCATTGAGGACAGAGAGGTCATGTCCTCAGTAATATTTCTTGGAATATGGGGGATTTAATGACATGAGCAGGAGTTTACGATCTATGATTAGAAGCATGTTACACATGTTAGAGTCATTCTGATTTGTTTTAGATTGAATTTCTTTAAATGTGACCATTTTGGGCACTGTGAATTAATTAAAAGGGACCACTAGAATTACATTCGTGGCTTTGAAGAATTTGAAGCAACCTTTAAACCATAACATTGGGAGATCAAATTTACAGAAAATGTAATTTATCAAGTAAACATAAACTCCCCCAGAAATTCAGATTATAGTGTTTGGTTGATGGTGATGAATGACCTCAGGAATTTCTAAAATGCTGGCAGACACTGAGTCTGTTAGCATGAATAATGGTTAGAGAAAGCTTTCCTTCCTGTACTTTAGATATCTGATAGACAGAAACAAAGTACATTTGAATCTTTTTTTCATACTTCAACTTGAATGTATTTTTTATTTATGTTGTTTTTATTGACAGAAAATTTCCAGATCAATACATATCTTGGTTACAACTCTTTAATAACCAAATTGAAAAGGATGCTTTTCAAAATGTTTCTTTATGTTGTTAAAAAATATTCAATATGATGCTATAAACTTTTTAAGTTGTGCTCTACTATGTTTCAACTATACATGGGTTTTGCAGGCAGTTTGAGGTTTTAAAAGAGCCATGCTTCGGTTTGTTTGTTCTTTGTCAAATGTTTTACAATCAGGACAAACAAAGGACGTGTAAACAGGTTACACAGAAACAAAGCATGGTGGATGAATGAAGAGCTGGATGGGAAGTAAAATAGACTTACATTTTAATGGGAATTGTAAATATCTGTTTCCATATATGTCTGAAAGCGTGGAGGCTCTGTAAAGTCTTTAATTACAAAAGGCATCTCAGTGTTAACTGGAATGTAAATATGATAGCCAGGACCATAGATGAATGTGTGTGTTAGGAGTGGGAGCTGTTTGTGAAAGGATGACCTTGTGCAGAAAGCCTGTTTCCGCTCTGAAGCAGATGAATCTCTGAATTTTTCCGGACAGACCTGCCTGGACACTTCCTCAGCAGCGGTCCTAGTGAACGCTAGAACAACGCTGCACACTGAGGATCTATTGTGATGTCCACTTTCTCACACTTACTGCAGCCAAATGAGCCCTATCTATTTAAAAAAATTCCTTGCTATTTAAGACTTTAGAACACATTTTTAAATCCTCCTCTTTACTTACTTAGGTTTGCAGTGTTTTTTCAAGCTCTGACTGTTTCTTTTTCCCCTGGAATGAGATAGTTTGTGGCTCAGGGGCTGCTGCCTGGGAGAGGATGTGTTTTTCATCCAGTGCTGGGGCTGATGTATAATCTCACTGGAACACAGAGTGGCCTTTCACATGGACTTCCCCTGTGCTCTGAAGCTGCTTGGCCTGCAGTAGGCTCTTCCTCTAGCAGTCAGTACAGCTCTCTGCCTCGCTGCTGGGCCCAGTGTGTTTGTTTGAGTCCTTTGTCACGGCCTCTGTGGATGTCATCCTGTCAGCCCGCCTGTCTTCCAGACCTCTCTAGGGTGACTCAGCTTTATCCTCCTCCAGTTTCCGGAATCCTCTCTTTCCTGTTTTCAAGCCGTGGTGAACCAGTTTTGTAGCCTCCTCTTAACATACCTTACCCTGCACTGCTAGACATGTCTGCCTGATATTTTATCACTGCTGCTCAAGATCATCATTCTGCATCTGCCAGCCGTCACATCCTTTACGACGATAATGATGATAATGATGATAAGTGCTGGTGAGTCAGGGGTGGCTCACAGTGATTACAGGGTGCTGAGCCTGTTGATCCTCATCTTCAGGGTGTCCTAAAAAGTCTGAAATCACAGGGATGACTAGCACAACATATATTTCTGACTTGTAACACTTGTTTCTGGCACGTACTGTGGCTGTGGTCATGGTGTAAAACCTGTGGGTTTCTAGTATAGAAATTCCATTTCACTGATTTTCCGGAAGAAATGTGCTGCTCTCTGAGCTTTGGGGCCTTTTTGATTTGTGGACTCACAAAGTGAATATTATACCAGCTCTTACAGCAGTGTCTTTCAGATTCTCTCTGATCCTTAAAAATACTCAGCTGAAGGAGACACACACTGTACAACAAGGCTGGCATGAATAGAGCATGTGTGTTGCCTCTGCAGTTACCCAGGCTTATCCACTTGCCCGGCACAAGCCCTCAGTGACTGGCACAGGCTGTGTGGTATATTTGTGTGGGTCACAGGTTTGTGAAGGTTAAAAGAGGATTTGATATAAAGACAAATGGCAGTAAAAGACAGCACTCTGCTTAATGTTTATTGTCAACTGACATTATTGGACAAGATAACAACTTACATTATAATGCCGTTCAGACATGGACAGATAAACACACTTTGGAGGCCCCTGGGCAAAAATGAACTGTGGGCCCCTACCCTTCACTCTGTGGCTTGTATATGTACACAGTGACATTCAAGAGCTTATCATGTAAAGTACCCACAGCTGACCACAGAGAGCGGCTTCATTATACTTTACCTGGAGCACCATGCACCAACCTGTACTTAGGTGCAAGAATACTGTGTGTCACATAAGGCTGTGGTAATTTAATAAAACACAAATATCAGCTTAAATAATAGAGTATAATCAGTATTAAAACTATATTTTGAGCCAAGATCCATTTACTGAAACAGTTTTTGTAGGGGAATCAGTCATGTAGTCATGACTGATCTGGTGCATCCTGTTTCATGGTGTTTTAATGTATTAGTTTGTGTGCTGTATTGTTCTGTCTGTACTGTTTCTCATGTGTATTTGTTTTATGTATTTTTAAAGCCCATTTAGCGACTGACACTGCAAATCGGCTTAGGCTATAAATGTTATGGCATTTATTTATGCTACATACTTCCAACAACAATTAATCCACATGACAGGGTCACAATTTTAGGTATTAATCATTGCCTTAAAGAAACATTATTTGTAATTTTTCTTATAGGCAATGAAGCGAACTGTTAACACAACATTTGACCATAATGAAGTTGTTGAGGCAAATGTGTTAGCAAACAGTTGGCTATTTACACATCCAGCGGACACAGACATTAGCATTTATTTAGAGTCATGTTTGTTTCCACCGAATGAATGTGAAGTCCAATATATACTATTTTAACTTTAATTTTTGGCCCCCCACTCCCAAGGGAAATATCTGGCTCTTTAGTTGCTAAACTACACTGTAACCACTAGCTAGTTGCTAAATTTGACATTTGGTGCTGAACAGGTAGTGTGCCCTGGGTTTATCTAAGCTTCTTCGCTTCTTGATGCAGAGTTCATAAGAGCCACGAGACCAAAACAGTAAAGTTGCAATCAAAACAATGAGCTGAAAGACACTAAAACACTCCGTAGAGCTGAGGGGAGCTGTAGAGTTCAATGCTAATTCTCTGTGGGTTTGTCACTACAATAGATCCCTTTGACATTGCAAACTGTTAAACATATTGATTAGTGCAGCTTTAAGGCCATTATCGTTTCAGTTGATTTTGCAAATTTCCAACAAATAATTTAGTTTTCGGGCTTTAGGGCTGTTGCCCACTTTGCCAATTTGCAGTCCAGCCTTGAATCCAGTACAAGCAACAAGTACTGTCTTAAAAGTTACCATGAAGTTGAACACCTCTCCAGTGTCACAATGTCAACAGACTTTATAATCTACACAATATACCAGGTTATTATATTGAATCTCATTTTATTGGATAGGAGTTTCCCTGAAGTGAAGAGGCTGTGGCATCTTAACAACCTTCTGATATCAGATCCTAAATAGCTTTGTTAGCCCCACCCACTGCATTGGCCTAGTATTAGAATATCAACAGTTTCAGTTTGTGGCATTTCCCGTCTTCTTACTCCGTGTTTACTACCCGACTTAACAGTTTAATGATACACCATGTGACTATTGTCCTTTGTTTCTCACAGAGGCTCCCTACAATGAGACCCCTCCGTCATATGGCTATGACCTGGAGCACTCAGAAGAGCACCAGCCTCGCCACGACCCTCTATCCTTCACTGGATCTCCGTCCTCCTCGCCACGACTCCGCTCCAAGAGCCGGAGCAGCCGAGACACCCAGTCCTCCGGGTCTCTGGAGTCCACGCTGTCGGTAATGTTACTGGGTCAACTCCAAACATGTCTGACACTTTAACTGTGTCTCTCAGCTTCTGTTGCTCTCTCCTTCACCGTCCTCTGGCTGCTCTGCTGTTGTTCCCTGGCTACAGTACTGCTTTAGTATCCTCTCTCCACACCCCCGTCCAGCACTTTTAGGAGCTGTGGCTTCTCAGTCTGTGATGGAAAGTTGCCATTACGGTGCCTGCCGTTTCTTCTTCTGCTGTCTGTGTGTTGGTGTAGAAGTACCAGTTTAATCCCAACATACATATAAAACAAAGGCATTTGTTAAAGCCTACAAGTTGTTTTCAGGTTATCAAGTTGTTTTCATTGTTTTTTGTAATTATTTTAAATAAATAGCACCAAACTCAAATAATTGTCACCTCTGTCTCATGCCAGTTATAATGGAAGTGTTTCACTAAATTAAACCTACATTTCCTATAAACTTTTTTTTTCCTACTGCAAAGAGGGTACTGCCTCTTGCTATTCTGCTCATGTGTGGTGTTGCTGCATGGGCATAAAAGTGCTGGAGATACTATTTTTTGTTGGTTTATAGTGGAAGAAGAGCTTTGTGTTTTATGCTATTAAACTAACCACTAAATATCCTGCAAAATAGTTTTTATTGGCTTTGGCAAAATCAATATTGTAATCCTAGTCATAGTGTATGTAATGATCTAGTATTCCACTTCCACAAAGTCGGGAAGGTTGTGAGAGAGAGATCCAAAATCCAAGCCAAGGAGGATGGATATTTTGACTTTTAGTTCCTAGTAAGGGGCTTCAGAAACACTGGACTGCACATTTCCCATAATGCATCTCGATAGTTTATGTTGTTAGACCCACCCTGGCTCACCCCTAGTTTGTAACACAGGCTTTCTGTAATACATTTGTGGCCCCATGTGAGCTTGACATCATCAGGGTTGTTTTCTCTTTAGACTTTGGACATTGTACAACTGTTTTCATAGTCTGAACTACACGTGTAAAATCAGTGGAGTTCCCTTTAGAAAACTACAGAAGAAGTGCCCTTCAGTCAGGAATTCACTCGCAGATGGGAGTGCTGTTTGTCATGAAGCACACACCATACGTACATGCTCAGCAAACATACTGTGGGCGAACAGATGTTGGAAAGAGACCCAGCTCCCCCTCCCCCTCTGCTCTGTTTCTGTCCTATCTGTGGTATTCTTATCCTCTGATGTGTAAACTTGGTGATCTTCAAAGCCTAAATCATGGTGGAGAATGCGGGGGGGGGGGCTCACTCAGCAAACAACTTTAAAAAAAAAATCTAGCTAATATAATGGCAGAGAGCTTGATACAGCCCTTCTCAGTGCTCCAGTGAGTTTCTTACTGACATGATAGCCTGCACCAGGATGACTGATGGCTTTGACCTGTTTGGAATAACAACTCATGGACTCGAAACACATTTGTCTTCCTTACAATGCTAGGAGTCTCTGGTGTAGGCCTCTTGGAATGTAAAACTCCTACAGAGTTTAATCAGATCTGGTCTGTCTCTAATCCCACAACAACAACATCTACGGCCAGGGGTATGCAGAGGTGTGTGGGTGGGTTATTAAAGACTAAACCCATTTAAAGGTTACATATCATATAGTCATCATGAGCTTTTTGTGTGGGAGAATGCCTGCTCTTCACGTTTGCCAATTGTCTTCTCTTCCCACCATGTTTGTATCAGGTGGAGCTGGATCAGGAGAAGGGGCTGGAGATGAGGAAGTGGGTTCTGTCAGGAATCCTGGCCAGTGAGGAGACCTACCTCAGCCACCTGGAGGCCCTGCTGATAGTATGTGTAACTTATAACAAAGACACACACAAGATCATTTCCTCAGCTGGTTGCAACCCGTAGTGTAGACAAAAAGACATGATTAATATTTGTTTACAACATCAAGATTGGGCAGTTTTACTCCAAATATAGATCCGTAGAACCACTCTGGATACCGATACCAATACTGTTACAGATTGTGTTAAAATATATCAAACTATATTACAAAGTGTATTTTGTGTAACCTAAAAAGTTAATATAAAATACTGTTTACAACATTGATAAAATACCTACTGATAAAGCTAGCATCTTTAACTTCTTGTTCAGTGCTTGTTTGTTATATTCCTTTTTAAAGCAAGACTATGACTTTGTGAAATAAGAAATAACACATTCTTCCTTTTACAGATGAAAAGTTGGATTCATAAGTTAAACATTGCATGCTTGCTCAGTTTTTTTAGGTTTTGCTACCTCAGCATTGGTCTTTCTATGGTGGCTAACTTTAGCTGATTGAGTTATGTTAGTGCTGTTATTTCATTGAACTGGCAGATAAGCCTGAAAGACTTTTTGATACAGTACATTGAGTAACTGTTTTGTACACATTGACTGTGATTATTTATCCAGCCCATGAAGCCTCTGAGGGCTGCAGCCACAACCTCTCAACCCATGCTGACCATCCAGCAGATAGAGACCATCTTCTTCAAAGTGCCAGAACTTCATGAGATCCACAAGGACTTCTACGATGCTCTGTTGCCCAGAGTCCAGGACTGGGGCCACCAGCAGTGTGTGGGCGACCTCTTCCAGAAACTGGTATGGTGATGATGTTTTTGTTAGCTTCAGTAGGACAACTAAGGAAAGAAGAATATTTTCTTTTTTTTTATGGTTACATTTTTTCAACACAAAATTTCTGGAGGAAAACATGTCATGACAATGTTTCAGAGCTAAAGCTACACAAACCTGTTTTTCCATTTCTTTTGATATGAAAGCAGTGGAATACTATACTATACTAGAGTATCTGATGGGCTGATATGAGTGAAATGTTGTGGGTACAGTATGGCAATCCCCCTCAGCTGATTTAAACCCTCCTTTGGAGATAAGAAGACCAAGCATCAAATAACATGAAACCTCACAGCATTAAATTGTATGTTGGTTTTTGATCAAACAAACCACCAATCATCAAGTCAGTAACTTTCAGAAGCTAATTATAGCACTCCTTAAATGTCATGCCTTGATCATTAATGATAGTTAAAAGAGGGGAGACTTTCGGGGGGGAAAGGTGGCTGTTAGTAATGTTCAGGGGATCTTGTCGTGCACATGTGAGTAGACTGCCTGGAGTCATCTCCCGGCCAGATAAAAGCCTCGCTCCACCACATTTCTGGCAGTAAAGGAGAACCAAACGCTCTATAGGAGGTCGCTGAATAAGAGCTACCTCAGTGTTTGAAAAAGATTAAAAACACACGTACATGGATTTATATTTAGACACGTGAGCAAACATTGAATCACACTCCATCTGTAATGCCTGAGCACAGCATACAGTGACACTGCAAAGTACCCAGTGGAAATCACAGACTTGTAAAATCTGTATCTAATCCGTACTCTACTTGTGTCCTGCAGGCCAGCCAGCTTGGAGTGTACCGAGCCTTCGTGGATAACTATAAGGTTGCTGTGGAGACGGCGGACAAGTGCTGCCAGGCAAACGCTCAGTTTGCAGAGATATCTGAGGTATGTAATCACGCTACGCGCAGCAGGACTGCAGCAGGCAAGTATTTGATGTTGTACAGCTGCCCGGGACAAGTGATGACAGGGCAGTTTTCAGCAGTCTTCACCGCGTAAAGAGCCATGCAGCTCTTTACAGCAGTGCTGATTGTTTTAATTGCACTGTGGGGCAGTTGCTGGGATTTAATGAGGGTATTTTTTCCTCACCATTCCCTCTGGTGTTATCTCCCTGACAGAATCTCAAGGTCAAAAGCACAAAGGACTGCAAAGACCAGTCGGCTAAAAATTCACTGGAAAGTGAGTACTGAGTGAAGTGAATGGCCAGCCTCCACATTAATCAATATTGCTATATGTAGCTGAGCTGTGACTAGGCCTGTTGAGCTGACTCTTCCTCCTCCACAGCTCTTCTCTACAAACCTGTGGACAGAGTGACGCGCAGCACACTCGTTCTGCATGTAAGTCAATCTGTCCAATCTGAAGCAACACCTTGTCTGCATGAAGTGACTTAAAGGGACTGAATTTGTCGTAATTTTTACTATTCTAGGACCTCCTGAAGCACACGCCCTCCAGCCACCCGGACTATCCACTGCTTCAGGATGCACTGCGCATCTCTCAGAACTTCCTGTCCAGTATCAATGAAGAGATCACCCCGCGTAGACAGTCCATGACAGTTAAGAAGGGAGAGGTCAGTGTGGAAAGCTGAGTCACTTCATCACCATAGGATTATAGTGTGACTCCTGTTGGATAAATCCACTTTTTTCATATAAATATCACTCAGACCCACTGAAAAATCAATTGTGGTAGAAGGGTCAGCTTCCCCTCCGTACTACCAGCTAGTGCGTCTTCAGTTGAGTTCTTGAAAGTGAGGAACTCGATTGATACTAGATTTGCTGGTTATTCGCCAAAATAAATTCCATCAATTCCTGTTTGACTGAATGTAGCCCAGGTTGTAGTTAATATTCACCAAGGGCTTGAGTGTAGAAGAAAGTCGAATAAGTTAATGGTATGTTCTGCCTCCGTTTGTGGAGCACATGTTCCCTCTGCCAAGGTCAAATTCAGTGTTGTGAATGGTGTGTTGGCACAGTACACACCACAATGTTGACTCCCTGGGCTGCTCCAGCTTTTATATGCCTTTATATTTGTCCAGTATATGCGTCACTAACTTTCACCCATTTCTGGTGGTCTGCTCACTCTTGCGCAACAATATTTTGGAATACAAACAGCATATGTTTTCTGAATATCCAACAGAGGCAATAAAAGTCTACAGAGAGTCGACAGTCATGCTAGCGTCTCTGTAAGCCTGTACTCAGACACAGTTGTGTTTTGAGCTAAATGCTAATGTAAGCCTGCTAACAGTCATGTTTAGCTGGTGGTAAGGTTTAGTAAGTTCACCATCTTAGTTTAGCGGGTTATCATGCTAACATTTGCTTAATAGCAACAAACATAAAGCACAACTGAGGATGAGGAGAATGTCATTGGTTTTGCAGGTATTTATACGACTGGAAAAATGTAACAATAAACAGCATAATAATAAAAGTAGAGGGAAGACCAAAGTTATTACAAATGATCCTTAGCGTGGCTTAATGTCTGTTCCGAATTTCAAAGCAATTTTTCCAAAAGTTGATTGATATTTCAGTCTGCAACAAAGTGGTGGACAGACTGACAGACTGACGCTGCCCTCCATAGAGTGAGTGTGCTTGCGTGGCTAAAACGTATAAAGGGAATTGGGCTTCCATGTTCTGCGAGAATATGTTACTAAAGCTCTTGATTGACAGAACACTTGATTACATGGACTTAGAAACTCACTGTACAGTAGTTTTTAAACATTTTCATTTGATTTTCTCACTGAAACAGCCACATTATGGAATTGAGGATTATATCTTCCCCCATAATGTGCGTCATACCTTTACTGTTGACAGTAAAAAGCCCGAAGCACAAGGTGTCTGGAAGCTGTAATAAAACCGGAGTGTGAGTCAGTTGTTGCTGACTCATCTGAGCCTGTCTGCTTTAGCTGTGAAGGAAGTGGAGCGTAGAGGAAGCTCGTGACAAAGCAGTGCAAACACTGGAGGCAAGGGGTCTCTGTGTTGCAAACCAGGAAAACCTGTCGATTACCTCCACGCTCACTCCCATCCTTCCTTGCCGCAGTGTCAACTCTGCTTCCCAGAAATGACCTGCAGTGCTTCTTATCAACTTAACTGTCTAACCAGCCTTCTGCACTGGGCGTGTACCGCCTTACCCGAGCTTCCTGCCCCCTGTGCCCCCCCCCCACACACACACAACATGCATCTGATTCAGATGACCTGACCAAGAACTTCCTCTGTTTTTCCTGGGAACTAGGGTGGGATATTAAATCAAAGAAAGATCTTGGGAACATTCTTCTGTATATTGTCTAGGAAGGCTGAAGTCCCACAAAGAGACTGACAGATAACAACCCAGCACATGACAATCCATTTAAAATACGAGCTGTTGTTGTTGTACGTGATCAGCTCTTGACTAAATTTGCACCCATTGTTGATGTTTTGCACCGTGGCTGCCTGTAATTACCATGGCCATTTAAACCCATGGGTTTGTTTAGCTTCACTTCTTTTACATGCCTCGCTGCTCAACGTCTCATTACAGTGCATAAAAAAACAGATTCCAGTGTCATGAGGGTTGGAGCTCTGTGCAGAGACAGCTTTTGTTTTTCCAATTGGATTATTGACTATTTGTGCTCATGTTTGTGTCACAAAACAATAAGCGGATGTCACCCTACCACTTTTGTTTGAAACCAGGACAGTACTGAACGTGTCTGAGGGCTCTGCCAGCAGGCCTGTAACCAGCCAGCGAACAACTAGAGTGTGCAGAAAACAGAGGAGGAAAACCATGGCGCAGTGATTTCCTTGTTTTTGTCGAGCTTTGGTTGGCGTGTGATGGCGTGAAGTCCCACATAGGCAGCGTCACTTTAAACACTCTCAGCCCAGAGGTCAAAATGCAGAAGGGGAATTTAGATACACATTGCTGCAGAAAGAGCTCATGTCATCACATGCGCCTATAACCTCAGGCTAGATGGATCAATGAAGATTAGAGGAAGTTCTGAAATTAGGATTCATTGTCATGACTAATTCCTTACAGTATGCACTACATAATAATTGTAAAAGTGTGCTGTTTAAGCAGTTAGTATAAGAAAAGAAACTTTTTTTTAATTTTAAATGTTTTGAATGTCACTAAAAATTAAACTCAAATCGACAGCGAAAAAAGGACCTGTGTGCAGGATTTAGTGGCATCTTGCAGTGAAGTTGCAGATTGAAACCAGTTTGAACAATGCTCGTCTTAGGAGAAACTATGATGGCTGCAAAACTCGAGCCAGTTTGATTTGTCTATTTGGGCTACTGTAGAAACATGGCGGAGTTTGTACGGCTCATTCTAAGGTAACGGAAACACAATGGTTCTTATTTTCAGGTGATGATGAATATTATATTCCATTTCTGCCTGTAGATCCTAAATGTTACACACTGGACCTTTAAGATTTAATACTTACTTTCTCTTTCTGGAGCTGTCTCACCACCTTTCAATCAATTTCTTTTTTCAGCTGTGAGCAACTTTCCTTTGTTCATTGCATTGTGGGAGAACAGTGTCAATCAACAGCATTTACTATCCAAGTGTTGGGTTTAGAGTATACTTAATTGTGTCACTTTTCCAGTGTGAACACAGTCCATACTCAAAACCTAGTATTAGCATGTAGTGTAGCTCTGGGAAACACCAGTCTACAGTTATGCTAGCATTTCTGTAAGGCTGTACTTAGACACAGCTGTGCTTTGATCAAAATGTTAATGTGTCCACAGTGACAATGTTAACATGCTGATGTTTAACAGATAAAATGTTTACCTCGCTCACCATTTAGTTTAGCAAGAATATTTGTCATGAATATAAAAGCAGACAAAAATGATTAATGGTTGTGTGAAATGATCGATAGCACAAAAATGAGCAGGACTTGGAGTCTAGACTAAAATTTCATGGCAATCCATCTGATAGTTGTCGAGACATTTCATTCTGCATCATAGTGGCTTAAGGATGGACTGATGTTGCCACCCACAGAACTAAGCTGGCTAGCATGGCTAAAAATATGGAAGGTGGAAGTAGTCTGAAAAGTCTGAAAATGCATCATTACATCTGCTGGTGGTTGAAGAAACATACTGCATACACTTACTACTTTGTTTTGGTCACATCACAAATGTTTTATTGTTGCGGGTATTTTGTTTACCTTCACTATGAGGTTGGGTAGCATTCATCCGACAGCAGTTACAACACCACAGGCTGTACAGTAATTACAAGCATGTACATACATCAGCACAAAATCATTGTTCGTGAACCCAGAATGAAACCATTTTAAACTGAACCCCAATGTCAAACTTAGATTATATACTGTAATTTCAGCACTTCTTCGTATTGCTCAGTTTCGTTAGTTTTAACTAGTGAAAAATTAAGATTATTGGGGTTGTATCTGAGGCAAATGAAAGTCAACTACTACAATTGTAATGACGTGATTCCTCATTTCCCGTTGGCAGAACCGTCAGCTGCTGAGGGATCGCTTCATGGTGGAGTTGGTCGAAGGTTCCAGGAAACTCCGTCACGTCTTCCTTTTCACAGACCTGCTGCTTTGCACAAAGCTGAAGAAACAGGCTGCAGGGTGAGTCTGGGTCGGCGTCCAGCCCGGGGTTAGAAATGCAGGCTTGTGACCCGGAAGATCCATTGGTTCAAGAGAGAGAGTCACTGCCCTTAGACAGACATTAAACTTTTTAACATAAATTGTGCTTTGCTGAAAATAGAAGTGTGTCATTGTGAAAATTTGTGGTTGCAGTGGGAGATAAAGGTCCCTTCATCAGTTCTTGGATATGTTTGCTTGTGGCTAGTTGTACTGTTGGGTTCACACTGCTAAAAAAAAAGGCAATAAAGTATTCTGGTGAAAAAGCAGGAAAACATGACACTTACTGGGTCATCTCGCACACATCTTATCCTCCAACAGAAAAGGGCAACAGTATGACTGTAAGTGGTACATCCCACTGGCTGATCTGACCTTCCAGACCATCGAGGACTGTGAGTCCACCCCAATCCCTCTAGTCCAGGACGAGGAGATCGACGCCATGAAGATCAAAATATCCCAGATCAAGAACGAGATCCAAAGAGAAAAGGTGAGGATAAGCTCACCATCACAAAACATGACAGGATTTAACATACAGTTTATGATTTGTGAGTTTATTAGTGATTTGAAGGAACTGTGACTGTAGAAACAGCAGAACAATAATAACTTTGTACCAAAGTCTAAAGACAAACTAAAATAAAATGAGGAACTCAAAGATTATCACATGTGAATACAACAAATGTCTAGACAACATGTTCTGTACTACAGTAACCCTGTTTACTGTCCATCTGTAGAGAACCACCAAAGGACCCAAGGTGATCGAGCGACTGAGAAAGAAGTTGTCAGAACAAGAGTCTCTGCTGCTTCTTATGTCACCCAACATGGCGTTCAGAGTGGCCAACAGAAACGGCAAGGTGAGTCTTTAAGAGGGTTTATTCAGACATGAGTAAAATCTAGTGTGCTTCGATTGATGAAAGATGTTTCTTGGATTCCCTGATGCATGTAAAATATCATTGGGAATATGTACCTGCAATGAACAACTTTTTCATTTGGTTTCTGCTGCCCTCTGCTGTTCACAGGAGTGACATTACAGCATGAGAGTGCATTAAAATACAGGGTATGACTCCTTCATTTGTTTCAGGGTTTCACATTCCTCATCTCTTCTGACTATGAGCGTGCTGAGTGGAGGGAGATTGTTCGCGAGCAGCAGAAGAAGTGTGAGTTTGTCTGGCACTTTCTATTCGAGAGTCAGGATTATCATAACAGTGTTTGTTCATTTCAATTTCTCAACATATTCACCTCCTACATAAACAAACCAAAGACCCACAATCCTAACGACAGCACACATTTGCCCCATATATACAACAAACAAGTTCAATGTCAATCTGATAATGCAGTTGTTCTATATCAAACCTAAGCTGATGAAATTTGCAACAATCCCTAAAAGTGTGGATGAATTAATGATTCAGTTCCCTGAATCATTTCATATTACATCATGTTTATTAACTGTACCTTATTTTATACTGGATTAAATGCTCATTTCTATTGACCGTAATATCTCTTGTTAAATTCCAACAATCTCTCTGCCTTAAATTAAACTAAGTCCTCCTTAAATCTTGCTTCCAAAATGTACTCTAGGTTGCGACAAAGTGTCTACAGATTATTATTTCTGCAGGATGCTTTGCTCTGCTGTCCAAATGAATATAAATCAAAAGTTTGGATTTAAGTAGCATGCACTTCAAATATTGTGCATTAGCAGACTAAATTTGTTTTGCAAATCAGTCCAAGGAATACATTTGTTTCCAATTAACAATTTCTATTCCTCCATGTAAATCTGCTTAATGGTACAGTTTGAAGAGTTATCCAAGGATTGTTCCATAAAGTATTTTTTGGAATAGATATCAGCTTTCTCAGAATGCCTTTTAATTCTGTGATTTTTACCCATATAAGTTAACAATAGAATATAGTATAATATGATTTTTAAGAGAATATTTGAGGTTGGCTAGTTGGTACTGTAGAAAATAGAAAAAAGACTTTGTAAGCCCTGTCATTTTAAATCGATTGCTTATCAAACACTTCTAATGTGATATTTGTGTGACTGTAACTGTGTGCTGCAGGTTTTAAAAGCTTCTCTCTGACCTCTCTGGAGCTGCAGATGCTCACTAACTCGTGTGTGAAACTCCAGACTGTTCACACGATTCCAATGACCATGAATAAGGAAGGTAAGGCCCACAGTGTGTTGTACTTTTTAGAATTTAACACACATTTTAGTATACCCAGAGTTTTGTAGTTTATATAAACCTGTATAATCTGAACCCTGCCCTCCACAGATGATGAATCTTCTGGTTTGTACGGCTTCCTAAATGTCATTGTCCACTCTGCGTCAGGGCTGAAACAGAGCTTAAGTAAGTGACTTATCCTCCTGTTTTTGACTATAAACCATCTCACTGATAATTCTGGAGGTTGCACGTGGTGTCACATCATCTGTGTCAGTCCAGACTCATCTGCTGTACCCGCCCCCCCCCCTGCCCTCGGCTGCGGCTGTCAGCTGGGAGGGCAGCTGCAGGGGAACAAGTGGGATTAGCCAGGAACATTGTGTACAAGCAGCCTCAAATATGTCTTTCTCAATCACTGCCTGCTCAAACTCTAGCCTGTACTCTCTGTCACAAAAGGTAGACAGGCATTAGGTGGTGGCATGTTTCAACCAGTGGGGAGTCCACTCCTCTTTGTCATTTCTTAATTTACAGTAGCATTAGAACCAGAGAGAGAGTTGTGGCCGGACCAGCATGCAGTTGCAGCCAGAGGCCTCACACTGTACATCATGCAGACATGTCTCAATCAGCTGATTCAACAGTTAAACCCTACCTCTGCTTGTGCCCACCAGACCTTTACTGCTCTCTGGAGGTGGATTCCTTCGGCTACTTTGTCAACAAAGCCAAAACACGTGTGTACAGAGACTCTACAGAGCCCAACTGGAACGAGGTGAGAGTACAGATCAGAGTGGAGAAAGTGAAAGAGTGTCCACCTTCACTGTCCACTGCTGTGTGTCTTCAAAGGGCAGTGTTAAACATAACTGTACGAAATCATATCAGTTTTGAAAAAGCCAATGGATTTACTGTATGAAATAAAAGTACATTGTTGTGAACTGGGCTGAAACCGACAGTAACATGCCTTTGCTCTGTTTCCATGCCAGGAGTTTGAGATTGAACTGGAGGGCTCTCAAACTCTAAGGCTGCTCTGCTATGAGAAGTGCTGCAACAAAACCAAGCAGAGCAAAGAGGACGGAGAGATGACAGACAAGATCATGGCAAAAGGACAAATAAAGGTACAGCCAAATGCCTTAGCATAGACTTGTTTGAGTTTCAGTTAAATACCCAGTAATACCAGTATACATTTTTAACAGGATACTGTATGTGCTAGGTGAGACACTTTACAGTGAAAAATAACTTTTTGCTGAACTGCCTCAAACATATTGCATGTATGGCAATGTATTGTTACTTATCAGCCAACTTGGATTGTTACTTTAGTGTATTTCCCAAAATGTCAAGCACATAAAAGTTGAACACTTTCCAGCAGCTTTCTAAACATTCTGCCACTATATACAAAATATTTCTCAATTTCCTGAAGAACCTTGGACCTCTTCTACGTCATACTGTATCCCATGTGGCACCCAAGCAGAAAAAGGAACTAAAAATCAATATTTACAGACTCAGTATGACCCCAAATCTATACGGTTCCACTGACATGTGTTGTAAAAACAAACCTTGCCTATGTGGAGTGAACTTGCTCCCTCTATTGATTCCAGTACCTCCACAGTGGTGACTTATTTGCTCTGCTGACCACAGGACCTTTTTTTGGGCTAATCCTACCCTGTGGGGCCCTTCGCTGTTGAAAAAGAAGTGAGCCATGAGGTCTGCTGGTGGGTCACTTTAGCCTGACCTGTGATAGTGTGTTGTGACAGAGGGCGGATTAGACTTTGGGTTGACCAAATGTAGCCGTTGGCACAGCTCCAGAGTACGACAGAGCGAGAGAGACATAGAAAGCTCTTTGATCAGCCAATGAAGGGATTTCCCTGCTGGACAGGTGAGTCAAAACACTGTCGAGTCTGAGAGGAAAGTAGCCTGTGAGTGCTGCCATCCTCAGTCAGGTACTTACCCTGTTATTCAGGAGCCAAAGACTGGAGATAGAACACCTGTCAGGTATTTAAAGCACTTTCATGACACCGGTTGTGTCATGTTGGCCCCTTTGCTGCTTTGCTGATGTTTACATCAATGGTATGGAGATTGATTTTATCCTTAAAACTCAGTGACTGGGCTTAAGGACCTAAGAAATGACAATGACACAACAAATTTGAACTTTGAGGGCTTATAATTATTGAAAAAGAAAAAAAGCTTTGCATACAGGACTACAGGTGTGGCACCCAGGTAGCTCACCTGGTGCAGCACATGATGGGGCTGAGTCCTTGCCTTGGTGGCCGGGGTTCTAGTTCAGCCTGGGCCTTTTGCTGCGTGTCATCCCCTCTCTTTCTCCTGCCTTTCCTGTTTCATTATCAAACTTAACCAAAATGTCGATTTAAAAAAAAAAGAGTTAATGTTGCCCATTGTTCATTTCATTATTATTATTATTTTTTTTTATTTGCCACTTTTTGTTTGGAAATTTTTCAAAGCGACATATTTTAGTTACAATGAGATGTGAAAACTGGAAATTCCTGATAATATAATTATATATGAATTATGAATACACTTCAGAAAACTCCAGCCCCAACTCCACCCTTTAACAAATAACTCTAAATAACCTGCAATACATTTCATACCCACGAGAAGGAAATTGTATTGGCTGGTTCTTAACACCTGCTCTGTGGGAAAAGAAAAGATCTATTTTGATTTTGAAAAAAGAGCCTCTGGCGAGGGCAACACTTCATGTAAAGGTTATATTGTGGATTTAAATATTGTTTCAGATCTGGGGAAGAAGAAGCCTGGTGTTAAAGGTCACTAGCACTAATGAGTTATTGGCCCGAGAGGATCCTGTTTACGCTACCTGAGAGGGTAGATTACCAGCCAGCACTCCTCACAGCGGCAGGCGTGAGCATGTTGGTAATGAGGGTAGGAGGGGATTCTCAGGAGTTAATCCCCCAAATCCATCTGGGAAGTAGAACAACACAGATGCAAGCGTGGTGGGCAGGTTGCTGGGCTTTGTTCCTTTTCTAACTCTCACTGGAATTAAATGATCTGGAGTCTAACAATGCCGAGACGTGAAGATGACACGAAGTTTTGTAAAGATTCAGCCAGGCTGCATCAGTGAAGATCATCAAGATTCTAATCCACGGCTGGATGTTCAGGGAAGAAGGACCTGCTACTCTTGTTAGTGCCGCGGTTTAGAAAATAGTGCCGTCTGTGGAGCAGCGCTGGTTTCTTTGTTTGCAAGTAGTCCGTGAAAGCAACATTTTAGAATTGAAGAAGGCTCATGCCAGAAAGAATGAGTGAGAGTAATCCTAATGAGGAGGAGAGTGTGGATCAGGCCGGCAGCGGCGTAGAGGAAGAGGGGGACACTGGTCCAAGAAGAACCCCGAGCACAGGGGCTCGCCTGTGGGACAGAGTCCGCAGCAGTCTGCTCAGACCGAAGGTAAAGAAATGGACAGTGAGCTGTGGACAGACCTACATGGGATGCCCTGGGAACCTGCCTTTAAGGACAAACTTGTTCTTGCTTTCTCATATTTTTTGTTGATGTTTCACACTCTGTTTGCGTCATACACTGTGTCGTACTTCTGTTATTGAGCTTTAGAAGATTGTGCAGCCTGTGATTCTTTTTTTTTTTATCTCTTTGATCAAAAGAATTACATAAAAGAAAAATGTATTTTCACTGAACAAAGGATTATCTGAATGAGATTTGATGGTTTCTTGGGTGAAATAACATCTGCCATATTAGACAGGCACAGTGCTTAGTGGTGAGGACATGATGTATTCATGTTACTCATGCCTGATCACTGTGAATAAAGCCTGGCAGTGCGGTATTAGTCAGATGATTAAAATAGATCAGTGACACGAGTTAACTCTACCTGGCCATATGGAGTTTCTGTTTATGTGAGGCTGAGTAGTTGAGCAGGTGATGTTCATATTTAACTGCATTTATTAACCTATACTTATTCGTCCCACTGCAATTCACTAGATAATTACAGTGCTCACTTATAGTGTTATAATCATTGTGCTCATCTCACTTTAACACTGATATAGGCAAAATATTTCCCTGCTTTTTATCCGAATCTGAATTAATTAAAAGTGACATTTGAAATTAAACTTTACCTTTTTTTTTTTCAGCTGGATCCTCAGACGTTGCAAAATAAAGACTGGCAGAGGACAGTCATTGCCATGAATGGGGTAAGTGTTTTCACCAACCCAGTAAAAAGAGACAAAGTGATGATATTTTGCAGCAGAGTCTCCATTTTTGTACCACTTGTGGTTGTATTAGATATCATATTAAAAGCCTTAAGGCAGCTTAAAACCCACTTTCAGATTAGTGAAAAATATTATTTATTTAACTAGATCAAAAACCACTATAGCTAGACTCTTCAAAGCTGGACAAACTTAACATAGAGACTGTAAAGTCTATATTTAGAGCAGTTTTAGATTTGTGAAGCCTTTATTCTATTTTTGCAAACAAGAACAGGAAACCGGAAACAAGAAGGCATTTCACTGCTTTTTCTGCACCCAGACCACATTGGACCAGGTCTAGCTCAAAACCAGTTTACAGTGGTCAAATTTGGACTATAATGAAAAGTAGACTCCAGAGTTAATAAGGTCCACATCTAACAGGTCTAGGTATAGTTTTTTTTAGCTAGACCTGTTTTGACAAATAAAAAAAGGTTCCACAAAACTGAAAGTGTGTTTTAAGCAGCCTTATAATATTGAATCTAGTTCCTATTAACAACACACAAGGGGTACAAACTAAGTGGCATCATTTGTTAACCTCAATCTCCAAATTAGAAACTCCCAGCCATGAAGAAATTTGCTTTTTAGACTCAAGTCAAATTTCCCCATGGGGACAATAAAGTATATCTAACTATCTAACCATAAGCCAACATTGTTGATAAAAGTGATTTATGTAATACAAGTTGTAAAGGATAACTGCTATCCAACAGTAGTGGGTGGATAGGCCGAAATAGAGCTGTTTGATAACACTGAAAACACAGATACACCCATTAAAGTGAGACTATGTGGCCATGGGTTTGAATCCGACCTTTGGCCCTTTGCTGCTTGTCATCCCCCTTCGTGGCTGCTGTTGTGAAACTGACATTAGTGAGTCAGTTTTCTGACTCACACTGCATTTTAGCATTCATCATTATCCTGTTCATGTCACCTGTAGCCTGTCTGCTGTTCAGCAAAGGTTACACATACTAGCTTAGCTGACATGAATGAGTTGTCTAAAATAGCTGTTTTTCTTAACTCGTTTCAGGTTGAGGTGAAGCTTTCCATGAAGTTCACCAGCAGAGAGTTCAGTCTAAAGCGGATGCCTTCACGGAAACAGTCTGGCGTGTTTGGAGTGAAGATCAACGTAGTGACTAAGTGAGTTCATGATGTGTTTTTTGTGTGTTTATGGCCATTTTAGACACAATGTGTGAAGTCAAGACAATATTAGCATCCATTAGCCTCTGGACAGCGTACCAACTGGTGGCATTTTGCTGGAAAGCCTGGTCTATTGACAGCAAACAAAAGGGCGTGACATAGCACAGGCTAACTTTATTTCAAGCTTGGTCTCTTGTGTTTAAAGCAATTAAATAACGTGTTGATTTGTTTCTGTGTGACCTCACTAGACGAGAGCGCTCCAAGGTTCCCCTCATTGTGAGACAGTGTGTGGAGGAGATTGAGCGCCGAGGGATGGAGGAGGTGGGAATCTACAGAGTGTCTGGCGTCGCGACTGACATCCAGGCTCTGAAGGCTGCCTTTGATTCAAGTGAGTTCAGTCTGAATTTGATTTCTTATTTAAACTTTGACAGACGCAGCTGGGAAAGAAGAGATACTTTACATGTAGACAAACCTAAAGACAGCTCATAGTCATACTCTGCTCACAAGTGTTTTTTTAAGCCCATTGTGTGACTGTTGTCTCCTCTGCCCTACAGATAACAAGGACGTGTCTGTCATGATGAGGGAGATGGACGTAAACGCCATTGCTGGAACACTGAAGCTGTATTTCCGCGAGCTGCCGGAGCCTCTTTTCACTGATGAGTTGTACCCCAACTTTGCTGGAGGCATCGGTCAGTCACCACTTCTTTATCTTTGCATCAGTGGTCAGCAGGCACCAGCACATACTTGTCATACTTACTTTGACATACCTTTGCCTTGCAGCTCTCTCTGACAGTGTGGCCAAGGAGAGCTGCATGCTCAACCTGCTGCTGTCTCTACCAGAGCCCAATCTGGTGACCTTTCTCTTCTTGCTGGACCACCTTAAAAGGTAAAAGACGTCACAATTAATATAGTATTTCAGCTATTGTGTATCTGTGTACCAGGTGTATGTCAGTGTGTATATCTGTTTGGGTTGGGATTTTGTAGTGTATCTATAGGTTGAATGTCATTTTTGGCTTTCTTACAGGGTGACTGAAAATGAGAGCGTCAACAAGATGTCTTTGCACAATCTGGCCACAGTTTTTGGCCCCACTTTGCTTCGGCCCTCTGAAAAAGACAGCAAAATCTCAAACAGCTCACAGCCAATCTCCATGAACGACAGCTGGTCTCTAGAGGTCATGTCTCAGGTAAAGCTTGTGTCAGAATGTTGATAAGTGAGCCGGCAACGTTTAGACTAGTGGTGTGGGTCTGATCACCTTTTCTGTGTCCATAGGTGCAAGTCCTTCTCTACTTCCTCCAGCTGGAGAGCATTCCAACACCCGACAGCAAACGTCAAAGCCTTCTCTTCTCTACTGAAGTATAACAGGAACATCATGCACTCAAACGTCCATAAATGTCCTGTTCAGAAGCAGAATGTTAGCTGCTCAATGTGGTGAATGCTGCTGAGCAGCCATGGCTGGCTGGTTTACTCCGAGGATGCTTAATGTAGCCACCAGGTGGAACCACCAACTCATTGTAAACTAGAAATCAGCCACCATGACCAAAGCCATCTCTTTTGGAGATGTGATGAGCATGTGTGTGCTGTTTACAAGCTTACCTGCTGTGTCAGAAAAAGACAACCCTATATGATGTATGGACAAAATATATCATTCCTTTTTTAATTTAATTTAAATTCCAATTACTGTACTTTAATCCACTGCCCCGGTCTGTCACTGTGCACATTAGCTCCGTATTCACAGAGGGGGATTTCTGCTGTAGTTGGATTTTGTAAGATTTGATTCTGCGGCTGAATGATGGATGAATGGTTGAATGAATGGACATATTTTTCATGTGTGTATTTTTTCCCAGAAATGTTTGGTTGAAAGCTCACCTGTGCCAATGTTTCCCTGCTGATGACCAACAGAACATTTCCCTTGCCCTAATGTTTACACACACTCTTAATTTTGTACAGAATTAAAAAGTATGAGACTGAAAACTGTAGTTAACACACAGCAACGTGCAGGCATGTTGACCGAACCTTTTCAAGTGTTTTGTTATCTGTGCTATACAATTTGTATGGAGACCTTATTCAGTTCACAGGTTCTTCTGGTGGTGTCCGGGCCATCGTTCGAGTGCTTTTTTTGGATTTAATACAGGGAAGTGAAAGGCAAATCATTCCAGGAAAAGGCCAGGCCTAACCCTTCCACCTGTGAAGTGTATACTGTGCTGTGTGTCATTTTAATCTCACAGTGGTCTTTTGTCCATATCTCATATGTATTGTGTCCATATTGTTTTTTGGCTTCTGTCTGATTATTCAGTTTATTCAGTTGAAGGTGATGTATATGTGCTGCTCCCAGCATTCCTTCTCTGTAGTCTACCTTTCTATATAGGACAAAACCACACTGCTGTAGAAGCACCTAGAGATTATGCAAAATACCAAATGTTTGTTTCCTAGTAGGATCCTTGAAGCACAGTCATTCAATCATATCCAGGTCTCCTGGTTTATTAACATGTTCATCATCCACATACCTAGTATTGCTTTCAAAGCCATATGACAGTACGTTGTGTGCTTGCATTAATATTTCTTTCCAAATCACTTTAAGTATTCAAACACTTGTTAGCACAAACTATAACTCTAAAGGCGTGTGATTTATGTAAAATAAGCAATAACTCTTAGTGATTCTTAGGATGAGCAATGACTAGTGGGTCTTGTATGTATGATTTATGTAAATAAAACTTGGTAATATTATTATTGCATCGTGTCGTTTCTTAGAATGAGATAAAAGATACTCACTGAAAGTTTAACCTCTGACACAGCTCTGGTATATTATGCCATGCAGTGGTTCACTACGCTGTGTTCTGCTAGAGATGCACATTGTTCAGTGTAGGACTGGTGAAGACAGGGATGAGCATGTAAATTAAAAAGTAAACACACATTTATTGAATTACTGTGTCTTGGCTCTGGTTGTCTCAGGGTATGTGCCCTAAATGACCTGTTAATCCACATGTTTCCAGGAAAGCCATGGCTAATTAAAAGTTAGTATACCCTCAAGTTTTCACAAAAACAAGTCCATGACCATATAATCGTTTTATAATAACTAAGGTGTGAGATATATTAAACAGGATGTCAAGGATGTATCTAAAGCAATAATACACTCTAGGATCCATACCCCACAAGGGTCTATACCTCACATATACTGTCAGTGGTCTACACCTGACATTTCCTCTACTCTAATTGAAGGTGTGTGAAGGTGGTGTGTACGAGAAGACGGCAGACTTTTGGCCCAGATCCAGAAATAATTTGGAGACAATAATAAATGAACCACCGGGTATTTAAAGCTCCTGGAGGCAGCGGACTGTCCCTCCTGTACAGAGGGGGATGCTGAGATGATGCAACCAGAGGAGGGGGCAGAGGATCATCCGGCTGCTGCCAACAGAAAGGGGCTGACACCCGAAACCGATGCTGGCTGCCGTCTGAAGTTGTGGATTAGTGAACTGTTAGCGACCGCAAATGAACATTCATCGGACATTTATCAACCTATCAAACTGGAAAGTTAGGAGAACCTCAGGTATGGATATTTTATCGCTTTACTGACAGAGCGCTGTCTTTTTGCCGGCTATGCTAACATTGTTAGCCTAACGGTAGCATTAGCAACCTTAGCTTTGCTGTTGCTTACTGACAGCTGAAGTAAATTAACTGACTGAAAAGAAACACACAAACCAACTCTAGAGTTACACCAACTGAGCAGACTCGCGTTGTTCATTTTATTTGTTTTAAATAGCTTGATATGTGTTGTTTTAGCCCTCAAAGCAGATTTTTAGTCAGCTGTCAAGGCAGAAAAAATCACTTGGGTCTATACAATGAATTATTTCAAAATAAGTCTTCACGATGTGTTGACATACAGTCCGATTGTCATTCGTAGTTTAATGTCGGTCGATATAACTGTGTTTACTACCGTTATTGCTCAGTGAAGATTTTTCCTAATTAACTTTAGTTACGTTTAACTGCAACAATGTTTTTGTAAATGTAAATGTAACGTTATCACTTAGCAAATGAATCCTTTGCTGTTCTCGTCAGTGGGTTATAACTATTCTGTGTTACATGTAGAGGTACGTTTAGTCAGGGTAGTACTCAAGAATACCTATAATTTTATTGGAACATACATTTGGTGACACTTCGGACTTAATGCGTTATAGTGACCAGAAATACCTGAAATCTGAAGAAATGTATTTTGCATTTGGTTGTAAATATCTGCAGTGTTAACCCATATTACATCAGCTATCTATCTTCCGTACTATATCTGTCTATTATACATGTGTTTTCACTATAGGATTAAATCCTTTCCCTCTATCTGAGTTGTAATATAATTATTATAGTTTCAGTAGAAGGGTTGTGCTTACGTGTCTGGCGGTGCTTTTGTTTTGAAATCGTGTCGCCAAACAGGAAGTGAAATTACTGAAATTCCGTGCGTGCCTGACCTTAAAGCTAACTAGCTAGCTGGGTTATCTTCTTAGTTTTAACTTGCCATTTGGTCTCTGACCTGATAGTACCGACGTTTGCTTGCTCCTTAGAGTCAGGTAGCTGTGTTTATCCAAACGGTTTGTTTGATAAAGTGTGTGCTCGTTTGGTTGAATGACACACACTGTGCTAACGTTAGCCGTGGTGCAGCTAATGTAGGTGTAGCCCAGAACAATGTAAATTTGCCATCCCCCTGAGAAGAGTCAACAGTGAAGTGATGTTGCAGCTTGTCAGTGCCTTTTGTCTGGCCCAAATCGTGTACTATTGCAGTAGTGTAGACTCTGTGTGTGTGTGTGTTACTTCAGTAAATCATCCTCTCTCTCAAGTAACGTTACTCAGTTAGTTTAAAATTATATTTCCTAACCAAAGGAGACCACAGATGTTTCCCAACTTTTCTTGGAAAGAGCAATATTTCACAGCCCACTCTTCAAATCTATGTCCAGGAGATATGACTTATGCGATATTCCCTCTTGGCTTTGCCTGATCATTGCTGTGCTTTTAGAAAAATATTTTTGGAAAAACTTTACAGTCTTGGAAACTTTGCCCTCAGCTGACACTGAATAAGGGGAAAGAAAGAAATGTATTTCCAGGACAAACTCATTGGTCAGGACCAAACCATGCTCAGTTTGGTTTAATTGAACTAAGTGGATTCAGTTTTAACTTCTCCACACTGTGTGAATGTGAAAGGTGAGAGACAAACACACCAATAGCTCAATAAATTAGTGTTGAAATACTGTTTGTGATGGTCGTTTGACTGAAGGCCACAGAACAAAAAATGGCTTGTTTACTTGCATTCCAGGCTTGTGTATTAATAGTGAGGCATATATTGGCAAATGAAATTGAAGGTTTTACAGTGTCTGCTCTGTCTCAGGCAGACTGGTGCCTGCTTGTCCTTGTACACACAGTCACCCTTTTAGGGTTTACTTTTTTTTTTTTTACTGGAGACGCCACCACAGGAAGCTAATGTTATGGCAAGGAAGTGCCTCCCCTCAGTTAAAGCATGAATAAGGAAGGAGAGCAGGGACGGGGTATTAATGAGTTCCTAGACCACTGCTACCCCCACCTCCTTCTCTTCCCAGACTTACCTCGGCAGTTTCTTCCGCGTCCTCTGTCTCAGCCTCGGGCTTTGTTCAGCTGTCTGTAAAGGAACACTACACACTCTTGTTCCTTTGGTCAGCCTTGGATCAGCTCCACCGCATTCATTAACACTGAAATTAAATACTGTAGCTCTATTTCATTTGAATCAGGACAAGTGTTATTGGCTTCTGGCCAAGTGAGGAGCAGCTGACATTCTGCAGCACAGAGCGTTACGTGGTTAAAATGTGGCACATCAATGATTCTGTTAACCTTCCTCTCATAGCATCATCTTATTGATGGATAGTGATGGGCTGTTTTATATTTGAGAAGACAAATGATCACAACTGAAATAATTATATCTTTAGCTATATTTAAATAAGAATGATAAACTGTCTAATCATGTGGAGTCACAAAGAAAATAGTTTTTCATCATCACAGAAACAGCGTTGTTTTTGACACAGTGTGATTCATCACAGATGTTTGTGTAAACTACAGTAGTGTGAGAGGAACCGCTGGTTTAGAATCCATTTTCCAAACTGATCCAAGTGAGTCTGACAGGCCAATGTGTATGCATTTGTGGTGTATGAATTATCATTGAATTATTGTATTAAAAAGTCTTCAAAATGCTACTAGCAGGAGATTTGCAGTAGTTTTACAAAGTGAGAGAGTGAAAGAAAAGGCTGCTGCCTCTGCCCCATTTAGCTGCACTTTTGGTCCCCAGTCGGTGATCCCATGTCTATTCAGATCCAATGAAAAGAGCCGAACTCCAGCTAGCAGCTCTCTGTTTCAGACATCTGCTTTGACACACATTCAGCTATTCAGAAAACTGGCTAGTTGTTGAGTACACATGTCAGTATTCAGGGATAACGCCCTGCCAAATGTATGTGTTATGAATAAGTACATGCATACACAGGCAGTATAGAGTTAGGTGGGCAAAGGCCGCTATGGTAATGTAACGAAGAGTCATGATATATTCTTTAGCAAGCTGAGTCGTATCTTTAGCTAGAGACGTTACTTGCTTGATGGCATGTAGTATGAGTTTAACAGCAGCTGTGGTGCAGATACACACATTTTCTTTGTTTCTTTGTGCCCAGAAAGTTTGTGTTTGAAAAAACAAAGACTTGCACAGCAGGACTGGAGGTGTTCTGCCAATGGCAGACTGAAAGACAACACAAGCTCTACAGTCAATTATTTCTAGCTTAACTGCATATGTAATTTAAGATAACCTGTCAACATATAAAGTCTTGGTCTGGGTAACGTGCAGTGAGAACTGTGCAGACATGACAAAACGTGCATTATCAAAGTATGGCAATAACGTCAAGCTTCCAAATACTACACTGGGGGGTGTAGCCTTTATCTTGGAAAGACACTGACCGAGGAAAGATGCATGGTGTAAACATAGAATTCATATTCTAATCATGAAGTCTGAAGAGGTTGCAGATGTAAACACAATATGCATCAAGGTGCAGATCTGTTTCACTGAATAAAATCTACCTCTGCGCCTCAGAGCTGCCGAGTCTAACCAGCTGAGACACATTATTTGCCATTTCCTCCACATGAGGCAGGGAAGATTGTTTCTTTTGTTTGCTTGCGGCTCTTCGTAAACATACACATAGCTGTCTGTGGTCTGATGGTATGCAACACGTATTCTGTGGCTGTAAGAAGCTTTTTGTAGTTTATGTAAGCATGTTATTTTGATGAAAAATATCAAGTTCTACAACTTGGCAAATACACATTTATAGCTTTAGTTCCAGTATAAAAACTCCTCGTAACTCTTCCTAAAGGCTAGGGCCGTGCGTTTGTGTGGTTTGGTCGTATGAGTAAGGTGCAGCTAAACACATCTCACCATTTACATCACTGGAGGCCAAGGTAAACCCGACAGAAATAAAAAAGGCCAAAAAATATCATAGAAAAAAATTAATCACTTTGAAGAGTCTGTGTGCTCCATGTGGAAGATTCAGCGCAGGATGACAGCTTTAAGGTAACACCTGTACCACGGCAACACAGCTGAAATCTATTAGAGAAGCATTTGTTTTAGAATAAAGTGCCGTTGTGGTTTAGTAGCAGGTTATTTTGGATTCTCTGGGAGTATCAGAATCAGATGTGAGCTATTGTGTGCAGATCTCCCCCCTGCTCTGGCTGCATCAGATTTA